CAATTGTGCACTGACCCAAGGAATCTTCTGTGGACTCAGAAGTGTTTAGCGGGGACACAACAGCAGCAGCTCAGTTCAGCTCTGGTGTCTGATCCTCAAGTCCTGGAGGTGATAGATGTAGCAGTGTCTGGATGCAGAGGGTTGGAAACTCACTTTCTCTGGTCTAGGGAAGAATGAATCTCGATGGCTCTTGGAGTCTCTTTACATAGTCTTAACTACCACGCCCAATTACTCCCAAGCTTTCCCTTTTGTTGGTTTGGTTTTGTTTGTTTTTGTTTTGTTTTTTCCAAGGCAGGGGTTTCTCTGTGGCTTTGAGGGATGTCCTGGAACTAGCTCTTTTAGACCAGGCTGGTCTCAAGCTCACAGAGATCTGCCTGCCTCAGCCTCCTGAATGCTGGGATAAAAGGCCATGCACCACCAAAGTCCAGCTCAAGCTTGTTCCTACTAATGCAGAATTCTAATACGTGACCTCTTGTAAACAGTGTTGTTCTAAATGGATGAAGGATTGAAATAAGTCTGTGGACATATCCCCAAGCAAATCTCCACACAAGATTTCCGGAGTCACAACTTACTTAGGTGTGGTAGTTCACACCTTTAATCCTACAGGCTAGGAATTAGGTATGCTGCAGCAGGAGGAATTTTAGTTCAAGGCCAGCCTAGGATATACAGTGATTACTTTGTTTTTGGTGGCAGGGAGGGGAGTTTGAGACAGGGTTTCTCTGTGGCTTTGGTGCTGTCCTGGAAATAGTTCTTTTAGAAAAGGCTGCTCTGGAAATTACAGAGATCAGCCTGCCTCTGCCTCCCAAGTGCTTTGATTAAAGGCCATGAACCACCATTGCCCAGAACTTGGCTTGTTTTTGATATAGAATCTTTGTAAATTGGGGGCGTCTGCAGCATTTGTCCTGAACGCTTGATTTCTCTGCACTAAGGCCTCCTCTTAATATGCAGTTGACAAGGCAACACAAAGGCCAAGGAGGGAAAGTTTGAATTTTCCATCCTCCCTGATCTTGACATTGTTTGCTGGCTTGTGGACCCAGTGCACAGAACCCCCATCTGTCCACAGTTTCTGGATACTGCACTCCCGCACTTCCCTCAGTAGCCAGGGTTTCACAGCACTGGTCTTTTGGCTAGGGTCAAGATGCCTCCAGATTCCTGCCTGTCTGGGAACTGGGAGAAAACAAGTTCCACTCTGCCCTTGCTGCCACAGACTGTGGCCCCTCCCTCACTCCAGCCTTGCCTGACCAAACCCCTCTACAATTCCTGTCCTGAGGATGGATGGTGCTCCCTCTTTCCCACTTCAGTAAAACCGGTTACTGCTTTAGCTGAAAAAGCTGTCTCACTTCTGCTCAACTACTTACCCCTCTCAGATCTGATCACATTTGATGATTAGGGTAGTGAGAGCTCAATAGTTCATTCAATGAAAGTAGGGTAGTGGTGCCACACACCTTTAATCCCAGCACTCTGGAGGCAGAGGCAGGCAGATCTCTGTGAGTTCCTGAACACTCTGGTCTACAAGAGCCATCTCCACAACAGCTTCCAAGCCACAGACAAACCCCGTCTTGTAAACCCTCCACCACAAGAAATTAATAAAATAAATTTATTTACTTAGTTATTTTACACCCTGGACACAGTTTCCTCATGTAAATGTAATATAAATGACTATTTACATTTTTCAGGTGAGAGAGGACATAGAGTCTCTTGGGTTTTCAAACAGGAAGAGAGTAGGTGTTAAATGTGGCTAAGATACATGTAGTCAAGAAAAAAAAAAACACAGGCCAGGCTGGGCTGGTGGTGGCTCACCTGCTTTATCAGGGCACTTGAGAGGCTGAGGCAGGCAGATCTCTGTGAGTTCAAGACCAGCCTCGTCTAAAAGAGCTAGTTTCAAGACAGCCTCCAAATCACAGAGAAACCTTGTCTCTAATTACCCTCCCCCAACCAAAAAAAGTTCTCAATGTTTATCCAAGGCCGGCCTTGAAATAAAACTCTTCCAGGTTCAGCAGACCTAATTCCTAGCCTGTATGATTAATGGCGTTAGATACCACACCCAAATAAGGTGTGACTCAGGAAATCTTGTGTGGAGGTTGGCTGGCAGAGATTGGCCACAGAGTTATTTCAATGCTTAATCCATTTAGAACAACACTGTTTACAGGAGATCACGTATTAGATTTCTTCATTAGTAAGAGCTATATCCATCTGGGCTTTTGAGCGCTATGCCTTTAATCCCAGCACTTGAGAGTTCCTGAAAAAACTGGTCTACAAGAGCCATCTCCATAACAGCTTCCAAGCCACAGACAAACTCTGTCTAATAAACCCTCCCCCATAAAAAATTAATAGAATGAATTTATTTACTCAGTTATTTTAAACCCTGGCCACAGTTTCCTCCGGTAAATGTAATGTAAATGGCTATTTACATTTCTCAGGTGAGAGAAAACATAGAGTCTCTTGGGTTTCCAAACTGGATCAGACTAGGGGTTACATGTGGCTAACCTACATGTAGTCAAGGGTTCCACAAGAAACCTAGTGGTAGCATGATGGAAGCTTTTATCCAACTTAGTACGTGCTGTAAAGGAGGGAGCCTCAGCCTACCTCTAGTGACCTTTAATTATACCTGACTAAGGGGAGAATGTGTGTATTACAGTGAGGGCAAAAGCTGTTCTCGTGGATCTACGAAAAAAATTCTTTTAAGGCCCTTTCAGTCGACTCATCGCAGACCAGGTGAGCCATCCCCTGCTTTTACCCAATTCTTGCCCTAAGCGCCATTCACCCAGATCCCTCCAGGCTTGTGCCTGCTTGAAACAGACACGCCCAGGCAGGGAGGAGCTCCTGAATCTGGCTTGTCACAGGCCACCCTTCCTTCCCTTTCCATCGACTCATCGCAGACCAGGTGAGCCATCCCCTGCTTTTACCCAATTCTTGCCCTAAGCGCCATTCACCCAGATCCCTCCAGGCTTGTGCCTGCTTGAAACAGACACGCCCAGGCAGGGAGGAGCTCCCTGAATCTGGCTTGGTACAGGCCACCCTACCTTCCCTTTCCGTTGACTCATTGCAGACCAGGTGAGCCATCCCCTGCTTTTACCC